CGTAATCAAAATATCAATACACTCGGTCTGATTTTCTTTCACTTTTGTAAGGATGTTTTCCTTTTATCTTAAACAACTATACAATATTCATTTGTTTATGACTTCGTTGTTTTTTCTCGATATTACCATTGTCCTGCCTGGGGGTGGCATTTTTCGGTTAATTTTTTTTACACTTAAACCTCTGTCAATTCAAATTTATTTTGAATTTAAATTTTTTTAAATTTATTTCTGGATTCAATAATTTTTTTAGATCGAAATTGATAATCCGTATTTTCAAAATACATACCAACGTGAACGAGGTACGACTGGTGCTGACCGGAAAATGGTATGAACTTGGAAGGAGGAATTCGGAGTGATCAATTTACATTTGAAAACTTAATAAGTCGAGAAATAAATTTCAATAAATTTAGATCGATTTAAATTTTAAAAAAATTTATTTCTGGATTTATTAAAATTTTGTAAATGTAAATTGATCATCCTAGTCCTGACAAAATTTATGTTAGATATCAACATCGCTGTTTTCTGTAGACAATAAAACGAAGCAGAATAAGTGATGTACAGAGAAAGAAAAGATGTGAACGAGTCTCTTTTATAGTGTACATCGTCTTCGTTGCTGTCCCGCTTAGAGATACGGAATTTTTTTTTCTTGAGCCCATGCGTTACTCGTAGCCCAATTGACAGCTCTCTAGACGGATTTTTGTTAGCCTTGAAATTTTTTTTTGCAACCTATGGGTCATCCGGTTGGATTGAGTAGCTCGAACCCTACCCATTGGGTAACCCAAGGAGTTACCCGACATATATTCGCATTGAGTTTGCTATTATATATTGAGATAAATGAAAATTTGAATCCGTCCGTGTAATAATTGTCCATAATGTACAAGACCATTCTATAGACTATGGGGTACAAAAAGATACAATTTTTATTTTGTCCTGGAGAAAAATACAATATTCACCGTAATTATGAGCATCAAAGAAAGTACAATACAATATAAATGAAGAGTAGAATATAAAAATAGAAGTTAGATTCGTTACATCATTATTTAACTTAACATTAGTAAGCGTACAGATAAAAAAAATATTTGCAGAAAAAGTGAAAGAAATAGACGAAGAGATTTGTTTACAGCGAAAAACCAAAATATATGTGACGTTGAATTTTTATGTGCACTTTTTTAGAAAATAACTGATTTTGCAGTCAAAATATAATATGATAATTAAACAAAGAGACTTGTTATCAAAGACCTATAAAGCACTGGCATCCCACCAACACCTTGTAAAAAAGAGGAGAAAAAGAGGCATATAATTTCGTCCGAAGAAAACTAATACTCACTGGCACAATAGTACTATAAATCCGACAAAATTCGTACATTATCAATATAGGTTGAATATGACTTGAAAGAGTAAAAAAGAAACGAAATTTCCAACTACTCATAGAGATTTTTGTGCAATTGCTTATATATGCATTAGAAACCGGGAAACCATTAGAAAAATAGACTATTCTATTTGCGTAGTATCTGACTAAGTAGGTACACAGAAATAGAAACGATCAGAATTCATTAAATGTTTTTTTTTCTGCTTTTTGTTCTTTTTTTCGGATGATTGTGCATGTAAGAAATTACGTTTCCTAGCGTCAATTAATACATTGGTTGCAATGGTGCCCAGACAGCGGGTTTGTGAGAAATTGTTTGACCTCCGTGCTATCGAAAACACTTAATTTTTCCTAGTGAAATATGGTCATCTTCCTGCGTTCTGTAGAAAACGACTTATTTGTATTGGGTAGATTGTATAATCCTCTAGTTTTTGATCAGTGAGGCGTCCCTGTTTGTTGCTATCGCATTCCATCATATCTAATTTCTTCCAAGCATCATCAAACCGTTGTCAATATTAACTCATGCCAAACAAACATGCTTGTAATCGGAGAAATACGGCCTTTCACATCGCCCAGTATTGAGATCGTATAACTCTGTGATTGTACGCGCAGAAATACGATCGTTTATGGACAAACAAAGCTCGTCTATGGCTTTTGTCTTACTCTGTATTTCTTCGTATACGATTATATTTCTCCGTGTATGGTTTAGAGATATATACGATCGTCCAAAATGTGATTGTATATAGAGAAACTCGGGAGGAGAGAGATTACTTCATTTTGACAGTAAATCAATCGCGTAAGGTAATTTAGCCTCCTTAGCTATACACCTCGACTGATCGGCACATCAGTTTGTGTTATGTTTTTTTTTGTATGATGTGGTAACATTAATCAATATATTCATGGATCTTTTCGCCAACAAGCTACTTTTTCGTGAGAGAAGAGGAAAGAGAGAATGTTTTTGAAAATAGAGGCTAAAAAGAAGAATTTTAAAAGAAAATAGGAAAAGGAGGAAAAAGAGGCGGAGTCCCATGTAAAAAAATAAGCCTAAAAATCAACAGATCCGTGATTTTAATCGATTTCAAGCATAATTAATCGATGAAAAGCGAGAAATTTAGATTTTTTTTGATTAAATTCCAGATTTTAATCGATTTATTTGCATAATTGATTCGGAATCAATGAATTTTCTCCGATTATCATCAATTTTCTTCGTGGGAATCGAATAAAATCGATTATTAGCGACTATAATCGGTTTGCTACGATTTTTATTAATCAATTAGAATCGATTTTCAAAGATAATCCATTTTAATCAGTATTTGATGGTTTTTTTAGTCATCTAAAATCAACTATCACGGATCGTAATCTACTAAAATTGATTACGCATTCGAATCGATGATAATCATGAATTTCAAAATCATCTATAATCCAATGAAACTGATTATAATCTAACTAAATCGATTAGATTTTCAAATCGATTATAATCAACAATTAATGAATTGCGTAAAATCAAACGACACAGTTTATAATTTAAGAGAATCGATTAAGATTCCGAATCCATTATAATCATTGAATTAAAAATCACCTAAAACCAGCTGACATTGATTATAATCTAAGAGAATCAATCAGGTTTTGCAATCGATTATAATCAATCAGTTAAGAATCCTCTAAAATCTAGTGGTATTGACTACAATCAGCAGGAATCGATCAGATATTTCATTTGATTATGAGTATTGAGCTAAAATTTGTCTAGAATATAGTGATACTGCTAATAGTCTACTAAACGTTTTGGATTCTTGAATGTATTGAAAGCAGCTCAATGATAATTATCGAACTACTATTCACAAATGTAAAAATATTTATAGTATAACATCATTAACTAAAAATCAATTTATACACTTTTGAATCGAAGCCAATCAATGAAAGTCTTACTATAGCTGTTTTAGACGTTGATTAAAATTTATTTTCAATAATTTTCATTGATGTTCAATCATTTTTATTCGTTGCCCGTAATTCTTCATACTAATATCGACTATACTTAATTATGATCATAAATGTTTAGATTTTCGTGATTTTGAATGGATTTTTTTGGATCAATTCGTAGAGGTAATCGCTCTTATCGCTATTCAATGAGATGTTATGATTAAAGGAAAAAAAAATCAGAATTGATTGTTAATTCTGAAAATTGACTTTTTTAAAACATTAAGTGAAGTTAGTTTTGCAACAATCTAAACAAAGTATTGATCATTTACTTACTTAATTCTTTGATTTAACTGATGTTATGATTTATGTGTAGGCTATGACACAGAAAATAAAAATTCGAGAAATACATGTAACAAAACTTTTTTTATCTTTCATGAACAATGATCAAGTGTTGGAAATCGAAAAAAATGACATACTCCTCCTCCACTTTGGAAGAAGACACTTTTCTCAACGAAATCTTTTACTTCTATTGGAATGTAATTCCATTTAGAAGTAGCTGAGAAAAGAATATTAGGATAAACAAAGTTTTCATTTTCATCGATTTCACAATTGAGAGGAGTAAGATTGTTAATATACCCGACAAGAAGATGAGGCTCACCATCGTTAATGGTGAAGATTGTTCGAATTTTCCCAGGGTACTCGATATTGTCCAGAAGAAAAATGATGTTTGAATCGTCGGCAGCTTTGCCTTCTGCATAAGAACGTGTACATAATCGAGTTCTGCCAATATGAAGGGTCTGATAGTACTTGATTTTTGTAAGTGGAAAGAAAATACGAACTAGTGGATCATCTTTTTTACTTTCATGACGTAATCGACAGATTTTTGAATCATCATTTGAACGATGACTAGTTAATTTATTGCAAAGATAATTAGTAAAATCTGTATTCATGAAAGTAAGATTGTTCAAATAGCAATAAGCTTCCTGTATGAGATGAAGATTATGGATTAATTCTTGTGCATGTCTTCTGGTGCTTTTGTTGATACGCGTCAGAAGACCTATGTAATAAGAAAGCTCTGTCAATGGAAGTAAATAGTTTTTTTAATGAATTTTACCCAGTTCATTTTCGAACTGAAATGTAGTAAAAGTATGAAGAGGACCAAAATCGTATATTGTATCTGATATATGTGCTACTGAATGGACCACTTGTACACAATGTCTTGCACTGTAAAGCTTAGGAAAATTGACTAAGAAACGTTTACCTAGATGATTGATGACACCTACATACGAAGGATGAATCACCCTATTCTCTGATAAGTGTATCATCACGACGAGTTTCAAGAGATGAACATAATATTTCTTTTTCAGTACATTCTTGAAGATGATGTGTCCAAATAAAAGTAAAATCCGCATTTCATTTGCCTTAAACTTTGAATATGAAGTAAGAGAACGCGGTAATCGAGATGTTGTAGATGGAAAACGAAGTTTACAAAAAGCTGCTTGAAGTTCATCTAAACGAGAAGTGATGCTCCAATCTTCGAATCGGGACTCATGATCAAACCATAGACGTAATAATTTTTTCTAGAGTAATATGAAACATGTAAATCTTATGAAATTACTGAAATAATCTACCTACAAATACTCCAATATAGACATTGTGCAATGAATCAGTCATGAATCCTCGTCCAACATCAAAATAAGCTAGTTTCCTTAAGATACAATGTCCAAGGATTCCTTTTTCTTCTGCTTTGTGCTGCTCCATTAATGATTTCCTTTTTCTTGGTGGAAATGATTGTCGTATCTGTTCATTCAGCAGCTTTAAATCGAGTAGAACATCAAATCGCTTGTTAGATCGTAAATCTGTCTCTTCAAAATCATCCAATGTCATTGCAAAGCTTCGCACATTCCCATCATTCTCTGTTCTAACCATGAATCCTAAAAATATTCTTTTTCCTACACTTTTTGTTTCCTCAAAACAAACTATATACCTTCCACTTCGCACCTCCCGCAGCCGAAAGCAGCTGTTGGTTCTGGTGCAAACTGTAACAATGCTTGTGCGGGCTTGTCACAGCACGCACCGATGAGAAAGACACGTATGATGGTGGAAATATCATTATCTTCATGAAAATAGAATGCTGCACCTTGCTCGAGTAAGATCAGTTCATCAACAAGAGGATGAAATAAAAGACTTATTTCTGTGCGTGATGGTTTACTTGGACCTGGCCACACTCCTGCTAAAATTACGTTTTCAATAGAAAAACGTCGTTTCAGAGGAAGTTCATTGATGACAAGTAAGATAGGCCATATAATCTGGTGCGAACCTTTATTAGGCTAAATGCCATCAATATTTAAAGTCAATGTTAAGAATGGTTCTTGAATTTCAGTTTGTAGTTTTTGATGGAGGGCCCCATCACATATATCTTTCAGAGGTGTAGCATAAGAACGATGTGTAGGGAAAATGTCTTTGTTGTAGTAAAGAATTCGTTCAATTTGTTTGTGAATCGGGAAAGAACGAAAAGAATGCAACTTGGCTTTAGCATTGAAATGATTGCAGCATTGAGAACATGCCGTACTACTTGCTGATGCTTCCTGACATTCGGGACAGATGAATGTTTGAATAGAAGATGATTCTGTTGTTATGAGAAATTTTTGAAGATAGTACCAACTTGAAGGTACATTTGGAACATTCAATGTACGTAAAAGAGAGATAATGTCATTGATACAATGTACAGAAAGACGATGACGTTTCTTCAGAAGTACTAATGCACAAGAAATATCTTTTTCTGTAATAATAGGTCGTGTGTCACATGATAATTGTTTAATTTTATTACTATATAGTAGTAAGAAAAAAAGTTTTAAACTGAGAAAAAGTGAAGTATTAGTCATACATAGCATCAGTTAGAAATGCTGGTTCATTATCGCCCAAATTACTACTGATGGAATTATCAATGGTATTATTAATATTGATTGAGCTCATATCAATAATATCATCAATTGTTGGGTTTATATTGACCTTATTCACATCACGTTGATGAAGTGCCTGACCTATATATATATATATATATATATATTTAATTTAATTATTCACTGATAAAGATGATTTACCAATTTCAATAGCTCGATTTTGAAGCCGTTGTTGTTTCCAACGTCTCATACGATTTTTTTTTACTCTATACATTTCTGCAGCAGCAAAGAGAAAAATGAGGTGTTATATAATACAATGCATCTGAGATTTATTAAATAAAATGTTTCACGAATATAACAAAAAAATTATCACAGGCATTATTATCTACTTTTATTTTAAAGAAAGAACATAGTCACTTTCAATCGATGTAAATCAAACTGGAACTTCAAGTGAAAAATTTTTTTTCAGGTCTCAACACCACGTGTTATTCATCATTATAATTTTTCAAACTTTGCTTGTGTGTTTTAGCTGCAAAAAAATGTCCCATCGCATGATTGAGATCACCATCAGTATACATTGTCTCTTCCTGCGGATGCATTAAACGTGCATATTCTAAATAAAGAAATTCAATAAATAAATATATACATGCTTATATATTTAAAGAAAATTATTGTGTTTCACCTCGAGCAGCAGCGATGTGATCACGATCAACATCAGCAAATTTGAAGCCAATTGGTGTATCAGGATGTATCATTTTCATTATCTGACGAACAGTAATTCGAATATTTTTTCCTTTGCATGTTTGTAATTGTGTTTCGGTCAGGTCAAGTGCTGATGTAACACGCAATAAAATATCACTTTTTTCATCAGCATCTACGTTTGCTGCACCACTAAGAATTCTACCAATATCAATTAAATAATCATTTGTTGCTTGATCAGTTGGACGAGCTAGAAATAGAACACTCTTATATTGTAAGTAGACTTAAATTTATTAAATACTGGATATTGATTACCAAAGTAGATCTTTTTTGAGTATAACTTTTTCCCTTTATTTTTAGTTACTCTTTAGAATCTAGTAAATGTTTTTCATGAGTTGGAAAATTAAATTAAATTATAGTTGACAAAGTAACTATTAGTTTAAGATTTGCAAGGTTCTGACGTTGACTAATCAATTTTTCTTTTCCATTAGTTGGGTATCTTAACTTTCGTTTAATATAAAAACATGTGTGCAGGAGATGGATAAAAAAATTTGAATTTAAAATCTTTATATCTGTATAATCTACATTTTTTATTGTATTATACAATAATAGAAATATTTCGAGCAGAATCATAAAACGCTAATATATGCTGTATCGATGACCCGAGAAAATGTTGGTGAATTGAAATCTTACTATGAAATACTGCATGCACTGAAAATCACTTTATCATTAACATTACTGAGGATTTACTTCGAAATGTTTTTCTTAGAATACTGTCTCCGACATATGGACAAAATATAATTGAAAACGGTGTGGATTAGTTAGGGACCTTTCCTTCTACGTCACAATATATAAATTGATTAGAAAAAGGCTCGATCTATGAAAAATAAGCTTTGCTAAAACTTTTTCGTAATTGTTATCTTATCGTAGATAGACAGGCATTGATATATCAACTGTTAAATCATATATTACAATTCCTAACAACTATAATTCGTCCTAAAGTCGGGAATGTATTTCTATTACTTCAACTAAACTATATGAATAACTGTCAGTCAAATGATGACGAAAAGTTTTACTCACGCATCCAAGTCGTTTGATATTCTAAAGCTTGAGCTTCTACCTATGTCTTTTCTTTCGTTCTGTTAGATATTTTCCTAATAGGTTCTTTTGCTTTCTTCTTGTATTTTCGTTCTTTTCTGTGATTTATCAACTCTTGTTCGTTTTCTTCAATATCTATTGTTGTTCTTTTTTTCTTCTCTCGTAAAAGTCAAGAAAATGCTTTTCTTGACCTTGAACTGAAATAACTGCGCAGTTAGTAATGGGTGACTATATATGTAGATATATAGATGTATATATAGGGACAGAGAGAGAGAGAGAGGGGGAGACATTTTTTGAAAAAGAAAGAAGGAGTTTGTGTTTACTTGATTTTCAGCAAAATATAACTGGTAAGAAAAAACATATATAACATCTTAAATATAATCATATACACATCAACGTAAATAAGGACATAACATCAATAACATATGTAAAAAAAAGTAGTCACATCGACGGTCGTTAACCTGTTGAATCCCGCTTGTCTTCAATTGAAGACAAGCAGAACGAAAGAATTTGTTTTTCGTTCTGTCGCTGTCGTGTCAATAACATACGTTTGGCGAGGAGAAAATGAATCGAGGAGAGATCATATGTGCAATGGCGCTTATCATTATTTTTTTAATTCTGACATACGAGAAACTAGCAAAGAAACTTTCTCCGATTATGCTTGAATAACGAAATTCCTTTTTTAGTTATTTATTGATTAGTAAAATCTCTTATTTCAGATCTAATTTGAAGAAGGACAAGAGCTAACTGGAAAATTAGGTCCAGTTTTTTCTTGGAAAGCTGGTAAGACTCGTGATATCTTGTCATTTCCAGGTTCAACTATTATCCATTGTCCATCGATACTTTGTCCTGAATTTGATGAGGAACTAGTTGAATGATTTGGATATATAACATCGTCATCACTACACAGCAAAAATACTTTCATCTGCCAAAGATCAAACAGAGTGAGATCTTTACCTATATTCTTCACTATCATAAATTTCTTTTT